GAGATCAGGATGGTCTCACAAGGCTAGATGTGTCTAGTAGTTCCCATTGATTTAGCTTGGAAAGCGGGGAGAATGGCGCTAGGCTTACCGCACCGTGACGTCACGTCCCTGCTGGAAGATGGCAGGAGGGAGGGGTTACTAGATTTGGGCAAAAATGGCCGCTCCCAGACTCTGATTGAAAAGAAAATTATTATTTAAATTTTTTTACTGATTAAAGCTAAATTAATTATTTAATTATTAGCTATAAATAAAGATCCATTGATTATTCCTCGCTGACCGGACTTCTCCTTTAAATCCCGAACCTGTTAGCAGAGGTTCTGCAGGTGATCAGTGTTTGATGATTGCTGACAAACAGAACGGATGGATTTATTTCGCCATCAGGCTCCGAAGGCAGAAGGATTTATTAGTTTATTAAAAGGAAGCTGAATTTCACACAGATATTTAATTTTGCTGCTCAAAATGAAGGAGGCATCCCGATAAACGTCCAAGAGGTGCAAATAGGATGATAAGTGAAAGAAGAATGTTTCCTCTTAATGCTGAAGAGAATCTAGATCTGAGAGCTAAAGGTGATTTTCATGCTTTGAAACCTCAACAGCCGCTGCAGCAGGAAGGAGAGAAATTTGATCCAATGAGTAAAGAACACGGATCAAAACACAACATTAATCAAAGGGACCTTTGAAAACACACTTATAAACCAGTCATAGTCTGGATTTTTAGTTGTTGAAAGTTGGGCTGTTTGGTTGGTCAGATTTTATCCCACTCTAGTGTCAATATTAGACGTTGAAAAGAGGTTGAAAACTCAGTTTTCAACCTCTTTTCAACGATCTGATAAGTACAGCTTCAGCGACGGTTCAAGACCAAATGTATCAGGGGGCCATGAGGGGGCCAGCGGGTTTTCATGGGGGCCACAGAAAAGCATGAAATAAAAAAAAACATGGCAAGGGATTCAAATATATTAAGATATCTGTATGAAGTGAAATTTCTATTCAATTAGCTTTAATTAAAATTCTGTCTTATTAGCTAAAAAAAACAAACATTCATAATTTAAGAATTTGACCTATTTTTGACTTAAGTTAAAAATTAAGTTTTCTATAAAATCTGAATTAGAAATCAAGATAAACTGATGAAAATCAGCTGTAAAAATGAGACTATTCTTTTTTATTCATTGGTGTCTAGAACCACCAATGTACAGCTTTCCACTTTTCAAACAAATGTAGGCGTCGTTTGGAAGTAAATCATGTCCTCTTTTCAACACATTTTTGCTCAGCGGGAAAGATTTAGATTTTTTACAGCTAGCTTTAGCTTTTTTCCCAAATTTTATTTTATTAGAATGTTTAGAAGTTCCCTTTTCATTCATATTTCTACCTGTTTACTCATCGGTGTGCCAGAGGGGAAATCATTCTTGATGCTTCTCAGCATAACATGGTGGTGAGTCTGACCCAGTGGAAAATTTTAAATAGGAGTTATGACGACGTTTGGACATAGAGAGTATTTTACCAATTCTATAATTTTAATATCTTGTTTTTTTATGTAAAATTTGTTTAATTTAAATAAAAAATAATAAAATTAGGGCTGAAACAATTAATCGTATTAATCGATTAAATGGTTAACTGGAGTAAGGAGACTAAAACAGGCCTTTAGCTGACAGAGCGAGTCATTATGTAAAAAAAATAAATAAAAAAGGTTATGTAAACATTTTGCATTTAAGATTAGAATCTTTTTATTTTTTTATTATAAGCTTTATTTCCACTTGGTTTAATTTAGTAAAAAAAATCTTCCTTAAATAACCTTTAGCTATCTGATTATTAATCGAAAAAATAAACCAGATTATTGGCTTTGCAAAATAACTGCAAACAATAGTTGCAGTCCTAAATAAAATGTGAAAAAATAAAGCTTAGAAAATGAAATCTAGAAAAGAGCAAACAGTAACAGATCTTCTGCAAACACAATCTACATTTCTCCCCAAACCTTTTGTTTTATTTCACACTTTCATTTTTAAAAATTGTTTATTTTGAAACGTGTTCTTTGCTCCTAATGAAGAAGGAACAAATTTCTCTCCATGGTGCAGTAGAGATAAAGCAAGCAAGCAAAGGCTGAGACATAAAGCTGGTCTGCAAAACATAAGGAAGTCAAACCACAGGATCCGTTTAGTGGAAGAGAAAATAAAATCCAGGTTAGTAGAAGCTAAGCTGCAGCTTCTGAATCCCTAAAATTGGGCGATTTGTGGAGCTTCCAGTCAGAAACACGACATCATTTTGGTTTTCATGCAGTGATGTTAACATCAAACCGATGGAGGGTCATTCATGGCATGAAACAAGCGGGGGTGGGGGGGTGGCTGCAGTGGCTCTGCTACTGCAAATCCAGGATTGGCTCCACAGAGTGCAGGGAGGCGGGGCATGCAGCAGAAAGACATGAACGAGGCCCCGGCAGATCCAGAGCGGCTCAGTGATTGAGGTGAATGTGCAGGACAGAGACAAGCAGGCGGTGGACATTTATTCACCACAATCATCCCCAATCAGCCAATCAGACGTCGCTCACACACACGCCTAACACACACACACACACCAGAGGAGCATCAGGATTGGAACATGAGTGACCCGCACACCCAGGTCCACCATGTGCAATTAACGAGTGACAGCCAGCTCATTGGTCAAATGAAACAGACACCATGGATTAAAACAACATGAAATCACAACAGTGCATCAATCAAGTGGCCATTATCAAAGTCAACTTACCAGCATTTTTTGAGAGGTTGACTGATCGACAAATGTTGCCAGAGTCACGGAAAACAAAACGAAACACAAATTACTAAAAGACAGAAACGTCCCTCTGAGTCAGAGAAATACAAAATGTGTTTAGAATCTAAAACATGGTGGGGGGGGGGGTAAGGGAGTCAGCAGGAGGAGAGGAGGCTCTGACCCAAACGAGCTGAGACAGAAATTAGCTGGGAGATTACTATTCTACATAGGATCCAACCGCCAAGCGTAAAATAAAATGAAAACATGAAAAAAACAAAACAAAGTGAAGCTTTGGAACAATCGACTGATTAATAAGTAAAATAACAAACTGTCCCTACAGGATAAACACAACCGGAGCACCGTTTACACTACGCTTTTTAAACCGTTCTGAGATCGGTCTGAACACGGTAACCAAGATAACTGTTGAGAGTAAATGGCACTGTTGTCAGAAAATTTTTATTTCGCCTCTATTATATATTAATTTATCCTATTTACTCACTATAAAAGTTTTCACTCAGTCTGTTTCTCTGTCAAGGCCGCACCATTCTCTGCAGGATGGTGTTTGTAGACCAGACAAAGCTTCTTCCCTTAACAATCCAGATTCTTTCTCAGGTTTATTCATAACATGTTACTGTTTAACCAAAGTGTCTGTAATTTGTTTTGACTTTGACTACTTTTGCATTGTTGTAAGTAAGGAGGAACGAACGCTGCTCAGGCAGAACGGGACTGATTACCATAATTAGGGCTGTATGATGAACTGTTCTCTCTTTAAAAACATATGAATAAATGTGCCGACTGAGTGAAATCCATCGATCTCCGTTTATTTAACTAGGGTGAATAGTTGAATACTTTTTTCGCACGACAACTGAACCGGACTGTGCCAGACACAACCCCAACCGCGCTAGACTGGTACTAGTTCATCAGTATCATTTCATCATTTGAATTGAGAAAGCTTCCTGGAGAGCGAAACGTCTTCAAACCTTGAAAACCAAGTCCAGTGGATCGTTTTTTTTCCCCCTAAACTTTTACAGAATGACCGTGACCTGGATGACTGAGAATCTCCACCAACATGTCCCAGTTCTCCAATATATGATCTGTTACCAGAACTTAATTCCAGTTCCTTTAGCAAGAAAACTCAACCCTGATTAAAGTGCATAAAAACAAGAGAGATGGTAACAGCTGCGTTAAACAGAAGGCTGCCTTTTACTGCGCAGGGGATCCGGTTCTAACAGGTTCTCATAAAAACCACGCCACAGGCCGCAGCAGGTCATCAGAACACACTACAGGAGAGCCTCTGAGGCCATCGGGTTGTTAACGCTCATCTCTGATTAGCATGGATCCATTCAGAGAAGGAAAATCTGCTAAAACTTCCAGGTTATGGAGAGAAATATGTTCCAATATTATTTACAGAAAAAAAAATGGATTTGAAAAGACTTTAATTAATCAAACTCAGTTTCCCCAGAAGACTTTGAAAAGGTTAGAAATATAACATTGGAAGAAAAATAAGCAAACTGCAAAAATATCGGTTGAACTTTTGAATATGAATGAATTTTTCCCCAAAATTTTTTTGATTCAGTTTTTATAAAGTTCAATTTCTGAGACACGTTTTCTTCAGATTTCCTTTAGAAAAAACTATATACATATATTCAATATTATTGGAACCAATTTCTCCCCATACTGTTCTGACTCCTGATGGTTCAGGCCAAACGACACCAGATCCAAACACGATGGAGAACAGCGGTCCCAGAGGACCTCCACGCCCCCGCGGCTCATTCCTGATTATCTGAACGTCTCTTCTGTGGAGGAAACTCCTGCATCATCAACCTTGTTCTCCTGCTGCTTGTTCCAATCAATGCTAACATGTGGTTTAGTGAGCAGAACCTAGATGGAGTCGTTGCTGGGGTGCAGCAGAACTGGGTCGCTTACCTTGCGCCCATCGCTGGCGTGACAGTTGACATTTAACGGCGTCAGCAGAGCCATCAGCTTCTCTTCGTTCCCACTTCTGCAAACACAGTGATCACCTGACATCAGCGCCATGGACCGTTTTCTGTTTGGCATTTCTGATGAAATCATGCTACCACAGCGACGCGTACGTTCCTGTTGGATCTGCTGCTGGGAACTGGACTCACCTTGCTGCTTCCAGAAGTTCATCCTTCTTGTATTCTCCTAAAGAAAAAGAAGATTAAAGAGAAACGAAGATCAATCACTTTGGGAGCCATTAGATCGACATTATTTTGGCTTTTCTTTGACGGATCAGAGTGCAGAAAGCAAAGATCCGACTGTTTTTCCCTCCATCCTCCTGGTTCCTGCAGGCTCAGGAGAGAAGTCTGCCTGCAGTTTCCTTTGGTAAATTATGTTTTTATTCACACCAAACCCCGACCATGTGGCATACTGGCTAAAGGGCTGGGTATCCTCCCGCAGCAGTGTGTGGCAGTTAGCTTGATGCAGATATTTTTGATTTCAGCCCAATATTGAAGCGTGGTCTGCGCTACGTTATTCCACGCCGCATCGCCAGAGGGCCAATCAGGAACTAGCTAGGATTGTGGGTGTCTGTGTGTCGGTTTGACGAGCTTGTTCGCCGTCTACAACCCCTAATCCAACGCCGGACGACACACAGTTCACCCGTGAGTGTTCCCCAGAGACTGGCCGTGGCGTTGCGTGTTTTGGCTTCGGGTTCAAACCAACAGACCGTCGTACAGAGCTACAAACTAGCGTCCTGCACGGTGTCTGGGATAGAGTCCGAGGTGAGCCAGGCGCTACAGCCAGAGTTTCTGCCATTAGGTACCAAACAGGAAATACGCATAGAGTAGAGCGGGTCCTGTCTGGGTTTGCGGTGCTGATTAACGCTAAATTCATTATATCACAGCAAACGTATTAGTTTAGGTATTAATAATGATCAATTGGTTTTTTTCTTGCCAATCAGACTCTTCTTTTAACTTCTCATTCATTCTGGGGTCTGGTTCAACCAAAGGAAATGTCTGCTGGGACAAACATATCAAAAACAACCGAAACAGCTGATGAGAGTTTAATTTCAGAGCTGATGGGGAGCCGTGCTGCAAGACTTCTCGATAAAAAAAACAAAAATCCCTTAATTCTGTACATCTAGAGTGAAAACATGATCCATTCAGGAGGTGGAACTTCATTGCAGAACCATCACTTTTTAAAATGAAGGATGCTCTGATCTTTTAACTCCGTTTTAAACCTGAAGCAATTCTTTAGTAAATTCAGATTTAAACTAATAAAAGGTTAAATTAAGGTGAAAAGGAGATTTTCTCTGTTTGGGATTCCTGCTTAGAACAGTATGAGGCAATAAAATGACAGATTTCACCAAAGCCAACATGGCCGACCTGCTGCCTGGTAGACCTGAGCCGTTTCTTAACCTGCGTTCTTGAGCTTTCTCGTGAAACGACATCAGCCTCAACCCGACCACTGTTCCAATTGCAGAGAACGCCAGACCGAGAACGCACCAAATCCCCTGGATGTTGTTCTCACCCCGCCCTCTTTACCCAGCATGCATCAGAGCAGACTCCTCAGTTCTTGAGATTGACAGCTGTCCCAGCATGCACTGCGGCAGCAGCAGCTTTCAATGGAGCGCTCCATTGAAAGTTAAAAGTTCTCTTTCTGTTGTTTTGTTCAATAAAAGTATGTTTTAAGATCATTTGAGGCGAGAATATTATACTTTAAAGCATCACTATATGGTCCATTTACCAATTTAATGCGTAATAATAAAAAAAAAAAAAACATTTCAGAAGTTGAGAGGACAGCGGCAACCAGCGGAGCTCCAAAGCTAACGGCAGCCAGGGCTAACGTTAGCCCGTCTGCAGCAGCTCTCTCTCTGCATAGCCGTATGAGAAGGACCGCTGGCTCTGATGGAGATTTTTTTTATTTGTTTTATTTAGTAAAATGTTCATTTGTGTTTATCTGACTGTGTTCATTATTATTCCCCCACTAAATAAAAAAAAGTCAGAATTTATTATTATCCAGAGACTATTAATAACAGGAGGTGAAATGCAGCTCCAGACGAGCTTTGAATATGGTGATGTCATCAGTACGCTGCTGTTCTAAATGACACAGATTTATGCTGCATGCTCTGTTCTCCCAGAGTCCAGACTTTCCTGTGTTCTTCTCAAGAACATGGTGAAAACACGAGTCTGTACTGGCGTTCTAGTGAATTGAGAAACGGCCGCGGTCTGCTCTGAACCAAAAACCTTTGCTCCAAAATACAAAAAACTAACAAACAGCCCTGAGCTCAAAAATAATGTCTGTGTCAGAAAAGATCAAACAGCCTGACTCCAGCCTGCAGGGGAAACTAACAGAAGGTTTAAAAGTCAATAAGGAAGCGACCACGAGGCGCTGACCTGTAAGAACGGCTTTAGCCGAAGGGTCAGCCAGATCCAGAGCTGATTTTCCATCGGTGTTCCGGATGTTTGGGTCGGCTCCATGCTGGAGAAGCACTGTGTTAAAAGAAAGCAAAGTCAGCAGAACATCAGTGATTTAATGGGTCACTGCTTCATATTTCAGTCCCTCAGTCAGCAAAAAACAGCCTGTTAGGGAGAGAAACTTTATGCATGTCAAAAAGTAATGAGTTAAATTCAAACAGCACCATTCTTTAAACTAAAACTTATCTAAAAAGGTAAACATTGTGAAACAAAGCTCAGGGTCGGGGATCCTCACCGATGCACACGTCTATCTTCCCCTTGATGGCGGCCTCATGCAGCGGCGTGTAGTTCCAGTTATCCCTGGCGTTGGGGTCCGCTCCCTGACACAGGAGGAGGCTGACCACCTCTGCGTGTCCGAAGGAGCAGGCGTTGTGCAGCGGTATGAGTCCACCGTCATCCCTGGCGTGAACATTGGCACCTGTCTGCAAGAGATGCTCCACCACGTCTTTCCGACCGAAACCTAAACGCAGACAGAAGCTCAGCTCAGCAGCACGAACAACGACGGAGGATTAAATAAATTCAACTACAGTCTAAAACAGAAGATAAAGTGAAGGTTAACCTGAGCAGAGATAGGAGGAAAGTGGAGGGGCTGCTGAGAAAACAGGCAGAATAAACCTGTTCAACTTTGAAGTCACACACTTTTTAGTTATCAGCTCTGATCAAAGCAGATCATTTCCCCCTGGGATCATTTAAGTTTTTCTGAATCTAATGTCATGCAGATTTACACAGAAATCATTTTAATCACATTTGATTGGATAGACAGCAATAAATAAAGACGCACTAAACCATCAAACAACCATTCAAACCTACTGGGGGACTGGGAGCCTAGTGGTTAGGGCATAGAATGCTGAGGTTGTGAGTTCCAAACCCACCCCACAGGCTGCCATTCTGGCTCCATGAGCAAAGACCCGTCACCCCTGATTGCTCCCTTGGCGCTGCACAATGGCAGCCCACTGCTCCTCAAAGGGGGATCGGTTAAATGCACGAGATGATTTGTGAGATCAACAAACTTCAATTTATCTTATTTATTTGTTAGATTTAATTCATGTTAGTGTAAGTAAAATAACATATAAATAATACTCAGGATTTTTAAAGCTAAAATAAATTCATACACATGTTTTTTTTTAGTATAATTAATCCCAAATTCGTCAATTCAAAATGAGCGGATATGATCAATTATCAAAAAGTATGAAAAAGGTCTAAAAATGTCCAAAATGGTAAAAATTAATCTATTACAAAAAAAACAAAAAAAAACAAAAACAAAAAAACAATTTGGCTGAGAATGGGAAATAATTTTACGAAAAAACCTGCAGTTTTTGTAAAAACTGTTATAGATGAAGTGTTTTGGTAATCCCAGCTAAATTAAAGCGTGTCTTTTTGTTGAGATGAGTTAATTCTCCTTTGTGAGATCAATAAAGTTCAATTTATTTTACTCTATTTGTTGGATTCAATTTGTTAATTAACTACGATATAAATAATGCTCTGGATTTTTTATGCTAAGATAAATTCATATAGATATTTTCTAGATGTGTAATTAATGTGGAATTCAAATTAGAAGAAAGAAAAAAAAAACTAACAAGAAAAAAGGGTTTTTAATCATTGAATTGATCAATTTATCAAAACAAACTGTCCAAAAATAGGAGAAATGTATGACTAAACTCTAAAAAATGCCCAAATGGTAAAACTGTCTCTACTATTACAAAAAAATAAAATTATTCGGCTGAGAACGGGAAATTATTTCAAAATAAAACTGCAGTTTTGGAAAAACTTTTATAAACGGAGAAGTGTTTTGGTAATCCCAGCTGAATTACAACTTGTTTTTTTGTTGAGTTAATTTCTCTATTATGAGATTAATAAATTCGATTTAATTTGTTTATTCATATGTTAAATTCAATACATGTTAATGTTACTTAAATACATTATAAATAAAACTCGGGATTTTTAAAATCTGTTATAGATGGAGAAGTGTTTTGGTAATCCCAGCTGAATTATGGCTCTTTTATTTTTTATTTAAATTAGTTAAGTTCTCCTTTGTGAGATCAATAAAGTTCAATTAATTTTATTTCATTTGTTAGATTCAATTCATGTTAATGTTACTTGTATATGTTATAAATATTACTCGGGATTTTTAATGCTAACATAAATTCATATAGATATTGTTTAGATGCGTAATTAATGTTTAATTTGGTTTAGCAGGAAATAAAACAAACTTTTATTTTGGAAAAAAGGGTTTTATCATTAAATAGATCGGTTTATCAAAACAAATTGTCCGAAAATAGGAGAAATATATGATGAATCTCTACAAATTCCCAAAATTGTGAAAATCAATCTACTATTACAAAAAACTAACATTATTAAGGTGAGAACGGGAAATTATTTCACAATAAAACTGCAGTTTTGGTGAAAACTGTTCTAGATGGAGAAGTGTTTTGGTAATCCCAGCTGAATAACGGCTTGTTTTCCTGTTTTTTTTTTAATCTGTTTTGTTTTCAAAATGTTTGCTAACCGAGGAGAGCAACAGACTGGCTGATGAGATAAGAAGACAAACCGGAGCATAGGTGTAATAAAGCGGATAAAAGCAGCCTTAGTGTCCGAGCAGAGGGCAGCTAGCTGCCTGTAGCCGTTAGCTTACCCGCAGCGAAGTGCAGCGGCGTAGATTTTCTTCCAGCCATGTCCTTCGCGTTCACGTTCACCGAATCCACCAGCCTCTTAACGCGGGACACGTCTCCGTTCCGACAGGCCTCGAACAGCTCCCTGAACGCCCCGCCGACCCCGCTGCTGCCGTCGGTGGGGCTCGTAGCTCCGGATCCAGGGCTCGATACGCTGCTGCTGCCTCCGCCTGATGTGGTGGACGTAGAGCTCGCGCTGCTCGCAAGAACCGACACAGGAAGGTCCGGGGAGGCCAGAGCCGCATCGACCCCTCCGCTACACTCCCGTTCGCCCTCCGACGAACCGACGGCCGGAGACGGCAGAGCCATAGGCGGGGAGGGCGCGGAAGCCCCGGACAGAGCGCCGTTCCTCGGTGGAGATTGTAACGAAGTCTGCTGCTGCTGCGAAGAGCGACGAGAGACCGCCATTACAGCAGCTCCGAGGCGACGACGAAATCTGCTCCTCGTTTCCGGTGAAAGTCCGCCAGCTTCCGGTCAGCTGTTTACCTAACAGTCAGAGAGGAAAAAAACTGTTAAACTGTTCATCCCACTTTTAGTTCATTACTGCAGGGATTGATGTTTAAGAAGGATTTATATATATTTATGTTCAAAAATAAAACTCATTAAATGCCACATTTTTATTTTACCTGATCAAGAAGCCATACATATGACATTTAAAATATAATAATCCTAAATAAAAAAATTACTTATTAAAAAACAATATGTTCAAATTATATAAAGTATACACAACCCTGCAGATGTTTCCATAAAATACTGATGTAATACTTAATCCAGCCACAAGATGGCAGCAAATCGCAGAAAACCTTTAAAATGGATGTAATTGTAGGATTAGGGCCACTGGAAAAAAAAAAAGTTAACTGATTTTTACATATTATTTCAGTTTAATATGGGGGGAAAAGGCAAAATTCTGATTTTTTTCCTCAGAATTCTGACTTTTTTCTCAAAGTTCTGACTTTAATCTCAGAATTGTGGATCTTAATATAGATGGGCACCATGAAGGCAGAGATGTGGAGCACTCAGCTTCACTGACAAAAACAGACATGGCTACAGCTTGATGCTAACATGTTTGTTAGCTATTAGAATTCAGTCAAAATTCTGAGCTTAAAATCAGAATTTTGAGATTAAAATTAGAATATGATTTTTGTTTCTCCTCGCCCACGATCCCTTTGAAGTTTTCTATTTTTAGCTTCCTCAGAAGGTTTAAACTTTTTCTTTTCCTCAGCATGACAAGTATTGGATCTTCCAGTACAACAGTAGAGCTAAAGCCTTAGCTCCATCACTATATAAGAGCCTGTGGCCATAAAGCCATACCTTCTTCCAGGTTACATGACCTGGCCAATAAAGGTGGGTCTTCTCCCAACTTACATCGTCGGTGTTTAAAGAGGGGATCCCCACTCATTGATGGTGTCAAGGGCTGTATATTGGCCTGAGGAATCATTTAAAATAACTTATATGTGTGGATTCTTTAGCTCACAAAGTCTACGGTGTGTCTTTAACATGAGAAGGTTCTGCTGGTACCGGCCTGTTAGGTTCTGTTAAACTCTCTCAACTCTGACTATGGCAGATATGAGAACATCTGAAGGTGGCAGCCTGGGGAGAAGATGCAGTGAGGATGAACTTGAAGGTTCCAGCACGTTTCCCTGAGGTGCACCCGAGCAGCAGACCTGTTAGACAGACAGCCCTATGGTCTATTATACTGCCTGTGAAGTGATGCAGTATCTACTGGGACAGATGGAGGTCCAGGCTTCTCCAGGAAAATCAGAGCTTGGTGTAGCACATTGAAGGCGATGACCTCACAGGGTTAGGATTTGGTTCTAGGTATCTCTAAACTGCAGCCAGATGTTGCTTCGCTGTTTGGTGTCACACATCGTTACAAAACAGGACAGTGCACAGGAAAAAATCAAAATCTAGATAAGTATTTTTATCTTAAAATAAGTGCATTTGCTCTTGGAATTAGGAGGCAAAGGAGCCATTTTGCCAATGGAACAAGACAACTTACACTTAAAATAAGAAAAGTCAATTGAAATGTCTTCTTTCAAGTACATATTATCTAATTATCTTATTTTAAAAGTAAAAATACTCATTTAATTGGCAAAATATCTCATTTACCTCCTCAAATTAAGGTTAAATACACTTAATTTAAGACATTTTTACTTATTTCTAC